GAGGATCCTCTCGGCGATGTGCTCCGCGAAGATGTTGGTCGTCAGCAGCGTCTCGACGGGGATACCGGGGCCGAGGAATGCGCCGCCCGAACCGGTGCCGGGCCTCTCTAGGTCCACCGCGATCACGCGGTCTACGCCCATCACCTCCAGCAATCGCCCGACATCGGCGGCTGTGTTTTTTTGTTCGTTTGAAGGACGGGAGGGGGGGGGGGGGGGGCAGGGGGGGGTGTACTCATAGTCGTGCATGTCGTAGTCGTTTGACCATTGACCTCGCATCCCTACAAAGCCGGGACGGAGCACGCCGGGTTCTCACCGGACCAGGCTCTCACATCACCAAGCGCGAAGCGCCGTGAGGTACTCGGCGAGTCGCATGAAGGGTGAGCTGCATCCTGCTAAGGGTGTTCGGCATCTTGTGCTTTTTTCCTTGCGTACGGATGACAGCTACATACGACTTAATTTATTTCCTGGTGCTTTCACTTCCAGAGACAGTTGTAAGCACTGTGTAACTGCCTCGAGGAAGCTTGACCATTTTAACACAACGTGGTGCGATCATCCCCCGTTGCGCGGAGTGAGGGTTCTCGCCCGCACAACATGATCTACTCGACCACCATTATGGTTACCGCCAAAAAAAAAAAACGAGGTAAAAAAAAAAAAACGGTAACCTGGTTGCCGAGTTCACGAAGTGAATTGGCTTGTTTTACAACGTCGTTGCCAAGGGACGAAAACCCAATCCCGATGGCAAACACCGAGTGGGGGACTTGTTTTACAACGTCGACGCCAAGCGACGAAAACCCAAACCCCGATGGCAAACACCGAGTGGGGGGGGTGTATCTATGTATTTATGAAAACGCACGCCCTATGCCATGGACATTGGTCTCGTTTCTCATTCATGATGGAGCGACGTTCCTGCGTCTCAGAGACACACCTCTGGGGGGGGCACAACGCCTGGTACCCCTCTCGGCACCGGTTTCTGCATCACAAGCAGGTGAAACAAGACGAAAAAAACGCAGACAATCGCCTTCTATCGAGTGTCGAAAAAGAGCAATGTTTACATGGAATAAAAAAGAGTGCACCCAAGACAAGACGCAACAAAAAGCCAGCAATCAACTTCACCTCAGGAGGAAGGAAAAATCATAAGAAAAAAACATACAAGACACTCGCCTGCGCTCCACAAAAATCTCGAGTGCAGGTCAGCGCTAACCGGCACGGACCTTCGGTGGTGCTTGTACGGAAAATACCTACAAAGGAGAAGGAAACGAGTCAGAGCTTTTAGGGGAACTACCTGCGACTGAAAAGGAAAAAGATTGTTGGGAAACTACCCTGCAGAGGAATAGGAAAGACAAGTCAAAGCTTGCAAGGAAATAAATGTCTGCAATAGAAAAAGCGAGTCAGCATGAAATGCCAGAGCACGGGAAGAGGTGCATTCTAGAAAAGGAACCAAGAGATGGAGAGATCACGTGATGCCTTTGAATGTGTCCAGGTAGAACACGACGAGGGGAAGGGGATTGCGCGGTTTCCGCGGCAATGCGCCAACCGTAGTCCCCCCTATAACGGCCCACAGGTCATCCCAACCACACGGGAAAAAAGCGTCAGAAATAAAAAAAACGGTTTCCGCGACGGTATGGGAAAGGAAATCCCGCTTATTGCCAACCCAGCCGTAAATGGTGTGTGCGTATTTTTAGCTATGTTTGGGTTTCGGGACAAGACATGATACAATCGATCGCGATTGAAGTTTTGCCAACAGCAACAACAAGAATATATATAAAAAATAATAACAAATAACAATAGTGGTGGTAACAGCGAAAAAAAAAAAACAAGAAGCCGGGTACACTCAACGGGATGACGGCGGTGACCCTCTTCGCGGAAGCTCTCTGCATCGTGGACACCATCAGCAGCAGCTCGATCAGGTTGTCGTTCACCGGCTTCTGCCCGCTCTGGACGATGTACACGTCTTGGTGTTCATTAGTGTTTTTTCGTGCGTGTGGCAAGCAGCACGCGACGTGCACGGAGACGACGGCAGCGGGAGTGGCGACGGAAGAACGGACGGGGGGGGTGGTCATTGAAAAATTGTTTGGTCAATGCCGGTTTGTGTCCGGGGAAGAGGAAGCCATGTAGCCATTGAGTGATTTGCTTGTCAATGCTGTTGTGTTGCTGTTACTTGTTGCTGTTGCTGTTGCTGTTGCTGCTGCTGCTGCTTGTGCAAAAAAAAAACATGTTCATGTCTACATTGCTTTCCACGGCCTCGCCCGGACCTCCGCTCGATCGTCCTTCTACATACGGTATCGTCATGATACTATCTGTTTCGTCTGGTCCAACAATTCATATCAGTCCGAGGGGAGACATGGACAACGTTTTCCCTCCATCATTTTCCATTGCGCTCTCGACGCCCTCGCTCGGACTTCCCCCCCATCCGTCCTTTTTACACATGGTATCGCCATGCTGCTCTCTGCTGTCCGTTTCAACAAGGTATCGCCATGCTGCTCTCTGCTGTCCGTTTCAACAAGTCGTGCAACTTCATAGGGGGAGACGAGAATTGGACTGCCTTTTCCCCTCTATCTGCCTGCCCACATGCTTCCCTTGACTTTCTCTCCATCCGTCGTTCAATGTACTCCCATGGTATCGTCATGCTGCTGCCATCCATCTATTGGTTCTTCCCGGTCGGGATGCCGCTATCTGCCGTTGTTTGGTCTGTTTCCCTTACCTTTCCCTCGCACGTGTTCATCCAGCTGAACCATGACCTCGCCGTCCGCATACCGCCCGAGCGTCACCGCGCCGCACTTGAGCCCCATCTCCTCCGCGATCTCGTTGGCGAGCTGCTTGTTGGAGCTACCCCCTACCACCTTTATTTTCGATTCCACGGGGAGGGCGGGAGGGAGAGAGGGAGGGCCGCAGGGTGTTGCTTGGCGCTGTGCCTCAACAAGCATGTTCGCAAGAGTGGTGCTGACAAACGTTCACGAGATGCGGATCAGCGGAGATCGAAAGGTGTTGTGTTTCACGTTGGGATGTGTTTGTAGATGGGCGATCCCCCTTCTGCCTTGAATGGGCGAGCATGCCCTGCCTACTCGTTAACAACCAAGGTCTTGAGTCAATCTTTCTCCGCAGCCTCTGACGTTAGGCGCCCCCTGCCCAACACACTACTTTCGGGACGGACGGAACACATCAGTTCTTGCTCCTCACTGCGACATGGCCAACTGGAGCGCGGGGACTCGCTTCTTTGTCTTCCCTCTTTGATTGTTACCCGCAAACGACACCATCTTCCCTGTCGATCCCGCAGCATTGTCCTTACTCTGAGTTGAGACGCTGCAACGCTACGGCGCTCCTATCAGATAGAAGCACCCCGCGTACTCCACACGCGCGTAGCGTACCATGCACCCCACTCCCCCCTCCGCCACTGCTGGTGGGTTAAATTACGGAGTGCGCGCGCCGCCGCCACGGCTGTGCGCTGTTAGGCAGAGCCCAGAGCCGCTATTAGGGAGTACACACGAGATCTGACGACTCAAAGAGGTATGCTGTAAGTGCACCCCGCCACGCACACATAAACTTGGTTTGAAAAACACGATGCGCAGGCGAAGCTCCTTTCCAACCAATAGTTGGTCGAAATTCCTCGGGACTACACTGGGACTAACATGACCAGACCTTCATCCTTCATACAGCGAGGCCTGCTGTTGTACAACATGATCCAGACCTTTCATATCCACCTCCCAAAGATGCAAAGCAACAACGGTACAGCAGTACACATGAGCAACGGATAGGCGCGAACCTCAAAACTATGCACGGGCGCGACAAGAGCCTCCTTAGTGACAAGCTACGACGTGCTGCAATAAGAGCGCCAACCCTCACCATGAGGTACTCGTAGTCAGGGTCGAAGAACTTGTCATCCTCTCCCTGGACTGTCTCCCCGGCCCCGGCGTCCCCCTGCTTGAGCCCATAGTACTTCCCCTGCGACATCCCTCGTCTGCCCCAAGCCCCGCCGCCGGTCTCTGTGGGTCCCCCGCCGCCGCCGCCGCCGCCGCCGCCGCCGCGCGCCGCCGCCACCGCCGCCGCCGCTCCGCGCCGCCCTCGGCGACAACGAGCGCCGTCCCTACAGCCGCCGACATCGCTGCCGCTGCTCCTAGCGCTGCGACGGTCCCGAGAGCCGCGGAGCCCCCGACGCCGCCGCCGCCGCCGCATTTACTAAAAGAGGAGGAGGAGGAGGAGGATTGCTGCCTCAAGATCAGAAAGTTG